TCCCATCAAACGGCGTGAAGTTGATCAGATTGAACTTCGCCGGATAGGGGATCGATTCCCACTCTCTGGGGTAGGGACAAGGAACGCCAGTCTTCTTCACCTCTTGAGCAGAAATCAACGTATTGATCTTGTTCTCGAGGCTTCTGATCTTCGGGTTTTCACATGTGTTGTCGCTAGCATTCTCATTACCACCCTCTGCATTGACGGGAGGATTGGCATTATGCGTCTTGCCTGTTTTCTTCACCTCTTGAGCAGAAATCAACGTATTGATCTTGTTCTCGAGGCTTCTGATCTTCGGGTTTTCACCTGTGTTGTCGCTAGCATTCTCATTACCACCCTCTGCATTGACGGGAGGATTGGCATTATGCGTCTCATTCGCATTTGTGTCCTCGTCTTCCAGATTAACCTGGTTACGACGACTTGGCTCGGCTTGCTGATTCGTCAATGATCGGATTTGCTGGTCATGCATTTCTCTCATGTTCTGCATGGCCATCTGCATTTCGAACCTGAAGCTCTCCTGTTGCTTGGCTAAGGCGTCTTCGAGCATCTTGGCCACTTGTTCCGCGCTTATCATGAATGACTCGCAGGGTTGTCCATCGCTGGATACCGTGTTATCTGATGCGACAGCAGAGCAGGCATCTGGTCTTGAACCACCGTTCTTCTTTGCCGGGAACGCCTATGCCTTGGTTTTGGCGTTTCGGTATTAAGCCTTTCGAACATCGAAACTCTCTCGGTGACTGCCTTGATGCAGTTGCACTCAGACAGTACCGCCCGAATGAGCTTTGAACAAGGGCACTGATTTTCTAGCCTTCGAGGACTTCTCTTTCTGGCTTTGCTCGTACCCCCGTTTCGGTACTAAGTCTTTCGAACACCGAAACTCTCTCGGGGACTGCCTTGATGCAGTTGCACTCAGACAGTACCCCCCGAATGAGCTTTGAACAAGGGCACTGAGTTTCTAGCCTTCGAGGACTTCTCTTTCTGGCTTTGCTCGTACCCCTAGCACGATAGTATAGCTCGTCTGTTTGAAAGTCGGAGCAATCTATCGTGTGTTGGCACGATTTCTCAGGTATAACGCAATCATCATCAGACGATAACGTTTCCTTCTGAGAGTGAACTGTCTTCTTTGGGCCCTCAAGAGTCACACGCCTCGAGACATGCCTTTTTGGGCATGAGTTCTTAGCGGGCTCTTGGACTTCGATGCGCAAGGTAGTGCGCTTGGGTTCTTCATTGGGCCCAAACTCTCTTGAACTGGAGCTTTGCCTCTCTCGTCGGGAATTGGACCGAGGCGCTCCAAGACTGACTTCCTTTTCTGGGATGGTCTTGTGGAATCTCCTGGAGCAGTTGTGGAAATCATCGGCGGTCTGGATTGATTCGCCGAAGGTTGCACTTTCGACGGCCGCAGTTACTGCTTTTTGGTCTGAACCGCCGCTTCAGACTTCGGCCTCCAAACTTTGCTGGTTGATGGCGGCTTCTTGGCCACCTCTTTCTGCAACTTCCTACGGGCTTCTTCAGCTTGAGCCCGTGCCTGCGCTGATAGTGCTCGGCGCTTGCGAATGCGCTCCTCCAGCGTTGATCGGTTCCGTTTGACACGGACCCATTCCATTGTTGGCGGCTTGGAAGAGGCGCCGTTCATCTGTTGTTGAGGCTGTTTGCCTCTCTTGTTCTTCAGATCCGCGTTGTAGCGGATCCCGTCAACGGACTCCATGGCCTTTGCGAACTGTTTCGCAAGGCGTTGACGTTGCCTTTGGCGGGCTCTCTTCAAGAGAGTCACCACGCCCTCTGCGGCAGAAGGGTTGGCCAGAGCAGCGCCGACCTGGTTGGGAATTGGAGGAATCTCACCCGATGCGACTTTGGCATCAAACGGGGTGAGATCTTCGTTGGTGTCTTCGACGTCTTCAAACCAACGAGTTTTTCTCCTGGGGGAGAACTTTTTGGACTTGCGGGGGAGGTTGATCCGGACGAGGACGACAAGTACTCCTCGAACTTCTGCTGGTCGAACTCGTATTCGACCTCCTCCACGACCGGGATTGAGATCCGCGGCTGCGACACGACGATCTCGGCAGCGAGATCGGCGGCTCCCACTGTGGTCACCAGATTGTTCGCGGGAAAAATCGTTGCTTTCTTCATTGTTGATTCCATTGTCATCTTAAATAACAGCTTTTTGAGTTACAAAGATCCGGTCTTTTTATAAGATCCGGTTACAATGAAAATCAAATAAAAGAAAAGAAAGATTACAACTTTTTATCCTTGTTTGTCGAACAAATCACGAGCTCCTGTTTTGCGGTCGCTCGCTTGCGTGGGTTGTTTGCCTGCGCCGCCGAGAACCAGATCTGAATGTTCAAGTCCTTAAGTCTTCAAAACTCCAAGCTCGATCTTCAATTCGGCAGAGTTTCGGCTCTCAAAGTTCCAACCTTTTCAAATGAACCAAGGGGGGCCTATTTATAGGCTCTCTGAACTGTGCCCGCGCACAGATCTGGGTCGGCCACCTATGGGTGGCTCGGCTTTGGCCGAGCCACCCATGGGTGGCTCGGCTTTGGCCGAGCCCCCCTTAGGCATTGGGTTTTGTCGTTTTGCGTTGTATCCGTTTTTCGGTTCTGTCCGTGATTTGGTTGACTTAGACTCTGATTTGTTGATCTGATTTGGCAGTAAATCCGATTCCTGATTTGGCAGTAAATCTACTTCTGAGTTCGAGTCCGAAACTGATCTTGATTCGATCGTGATTCATCCGAGTCTGCCTTTGGTTGGATGACTCGTTGACTCTTCGAACCCTTGGCTTGATTCCACACGCGAATGGATGTATTCCGTTGCTTGCGTGCGATTCGTTAACCTCGTCGCCTCGTTGGTTCGTCAGTTTGTGCCGAGCTGTACTAAGGGACCTATAAGCAATTTTATACGCCTACAGTAGTTGGAGGATGTGCATAGATTATAGGTCTTTAAATAAGTCCACAATTAAGGATAAATTCCCTATTCCTGTCATAGATGAACTATTAGATGAACTTCATGGAACAAAATTCTTCACCAAGCTTGACTTAAAATCTGGTTACCACCAGATTAGGATGTATGAACCTGATATACCAAAAACTGCCTTCAGAACACATCATGGACATTTTGAGTTCCTGGTAATGCCTTTTGGTTTAACAAATGCTCCCTAAACTATCCAAGCTCTTATGAACAACATCTTCAAACAGTTTCTCAGGAAATCTATAGTGGTTTTTTTTTATGACATCTTGATATATAGTAAAGACTGGCAGGAACATTTGATTCATTTGAGACAGGTATTTGAGCTCATGAGGGCACACAAACTGGTGGCAAAAGGTCCAAATGCAACTTTGGGAAGAAACAAGTGGAGTACTTGGGGCATATTGTATCACAGGAAGGGGTTGGTGTAGATCCTCTCAAGATTAATGCTATTGTTGAATGGCCTATACCTAAGACTTTGAAAGGACTAAGAGGTTTTCTGGGCTTGGCAGGGTATTACAGAAAGTTTATCAAAGGGTTTGGTGTTATAGCTCAACCTTTAACAAATCTTTTGAAAAAAGGAGCTTTTAAATGGTCTACAGGTGCTGAAGATGCTTTCAATTCACTGAAACAAGCCTTGACTCAGCCACCAGTCCTAACAATGCCTGATTTTAGTATGACCTTTGTCATTGAATGTGATGCTTGTGACTCTGGTATTGGGGCTGTATTAATGCAAAATGAGAGACCTATAGTTTGTCATTGAATGTGATGCTTGTGACTCTGGTATTGGGGCTGTATTAATGCAAAATGAGAGACCTATAGCATATTTTAGTTTTGCTTTAAAGCTCTGGTATTGGGGCTGTATTAATGCAAAATGAGAGACCTATAGCATATTTTAGTTTTGCTTTAAAGGGGAGAAATATCAGTCTCTCAACCTATGAGAAAGAGCTCCTGGCAATCATCTTATCTACAAAGAAATGGCAGCAGTACTTATTAGGAAGGAGTTTTAAAATCAGAACTGATCATCAAAGCCTCAGATACTTAGTTGAACAGAGAATGCACACAGGCATTCAAAACAAATGGCTTGCCAAATTGCTTGGGTATGACTACACTGTGGAGTACAAACCTGAGAGACTAAACAAGGCTGCTGATGGATTATCAAGGATATATGAGGATGTAGAAGAAGTCTCAACAGAGGCTATTGAGGTTTCAGCTATTTCCACTATACAAAATGATTGGTTGGAAGGGGTTAAACTTATGTGTTCTACAGATATATACTTCAAGGAGCTGGATGAAAAGTTGCAAGCAGGGGAGTTACCACTTGAAGATTATTGCAAGAAGGAAGGAGTGTACTATTATAAGGGCAAAATATTGATTAGTCCTAATGCCCAGCATTTGAAAACCTCTCTTCTCAGAGAACACCATGATAGCCCCTCTGCTGGTCACTCTGGTATTACAAGAACATTACACAGATTAAGGAGAGCTTTCTATTGGAAAGACATGAAGAGAGAGGTACAAATGTATATTCAAGCTTGTGATGTGTGCCAAAGAGCTAAAGGGGAGAATGTGGCTTCCCCAGGACTCCTCCAACCCTTGCCAGTTCCAGATTTGATTTGGGAAGAATTATCAATGGACTTCATTACTAGCTTGCCTAAGAGTGGAAACAAATCCACCATTATGGTAGTAGTTGACAGATTGACCAAATATGCTCATTTCTTTGCTCTCTCACACCCATATACTGCTCAGTCAGTGGCTCAAATATTTTTTGAAGGTGTGTTTAAGCTTCATGGCATGCCTAAGTCCATTGTAAGTGACAGAGATCCTCTATTTACAAGTTCATTTTGGAGGGAGTTGTTCAAATTGCAAGGTAGCCAACTCAGGTTCAGTTCTGCCTATCACCCTCAATCTGACGGGCAAACTAAAATTACAAATAATAATTTGAAAGCCTATCTTAGGTGTTTTTGTTGTCATAAGCCTAGAGAATGGTGCCAATGGTTACCTCTGGCAGAGTTCTGGTACAATAGGTGTTTTTGTTGTCATAAGCCTAGAGAATGGTGCCAATGGTTACCTCTGGCAGAGTTCTGGTACAATACAACTTGGAAGGTATCTATTCAATGTACTCCTTTTGAAGCTGTGTATGGTAGAACTCCTCCCTCTTTGCTTTCATACATTCCTAAAAGTTGTAAAGTTTAAGCAGTGGATGAGGCTCTTTTCTCCAGAGATATAGCCCTGGAATTTCTAAAGGACAGCTTACAAAGGGAAGCTAATAGCATGAAGAAGTTTGCTGATTTGCACAGGAGTCACAGGAGCTTCAATGTTGGTGACTGGGTATTCCTCAAACTTCAACCCTATAGACAGATTAGTGTTTCTTCACATAAGCCTCATAAACTCTCTCCTAAGTATTATGGACCCTATCAAATTCTGGAAAACATAGGAGAAGTTGCCTACAAGGTGGCCTTACCAGAACAAGCTAAGATACATCCAGTTTTTCATGTATCTCAGCTGAAACGAAGGGTTGGAACTGATGTGGCTCTTCAAGTTGATTTTCCTAACTATGTCGCAGAGATAGTTGATGAACCAGAGGAAATTTTGGATAGAAGATCAGTTATGAAAGGCAATAGATTAATATCACAGGTTCTCATAAAATGGAAGCAACGTGCACACTTGGATTCCACCTGGGAGCCTTACTGGGAGTTGGTTAAAAGATTTCCCACTTTTGACCTTGAGGCAAGGTCCACATTAAGCGGAGGGAATTTGTCAGGGACCAATCCTATCAGCACTATGCCAAGGAGGGATACCACTCTCAATCTGTCAAGTGAGGATACAAACCTGTCAAGTGAGGAGGGACACGCAAGTTAAAGGACTGTTGTGCAAAGATTGGAGGCCTAGGGGGTTATCTGCAAATGATTGTAAATAATAGGGCCTTAAATAATGTTCAGTTCAGCAAAGTTGTCCAGCTCAGCAAACTGTTTCTGTTAGAATCTGTTAGAATCTGTTTGGTTAGTTAGTTCTTGTGCACGTGCACAAACAGTGCACTGTTTGTGTTTTTCTTTGTTTCTTTGAGAGGAATGCAATGTATAAGTAGGAAAATGTTAAGGATCATTGGTTATGAATGAAATTGAGTTTTTCCTCTCCTTCTCAGTTCTAATCTCTGCTCATCTTCTTTCTTCAAATATTATCTCTATTGTTCTGTTCTTCTTCCTGTGTATCACTTTCTTGAATTCTGCAGACTCTCCATGGCTCGGAACAGCTCAACTAGGGTGAATCGAGGCTCGAGAGCCTCACACTACTACAAAATTCAAACACAGTTCGGGTGCAAATTAGTCAAGCCTCAAAGAGGTATTTCGGTTTACCCCCAAATTCAAGAGTTAGGGTTTAGTTTTCCCATAAATCCAAATCTAAGAACCAAATTGGATGCCATATGAGTAAAATCTTACCTCAGAGCAAAGGAAAGAGGAACTCGGCAAAGGAACATGGAAACCCACAGGAGATTGATCGAACCCAAATGCTGCCAACTGAAGCCCTAGCTCTTGGATTCGGCAAAAATTGAGGATAGGGGGAAGAAGGAAGGTGGAGAAATCCTTTTAGAAAGATGTTAGGGTTTAGGAGTTCTTAGAAGGAAGAGTTTTGATGGAGGAGAAGTTTTGAACCGAACTTGAAGAGGAAAGATGAAAAAAGATCGGGATTTTGGGGACTTAAGGAAAGCCCCATGATCACCTAAGCCCCCATGACCCGCACTCATGCCGGTCAAGTAGGTGTGAACCGCATTCGTGCGGGTCACCACGTGGTGAACCGTACAAGTGCGGGTCACTTAGACCTGACCCGCTCAAGTGCGGGTCACTTCAACCCGACCCGCACGCTGGGTTGGTCCGGCGATTGTTTTCACGGTATTTTCACCTGTTTTCACCCATTTTTGATGTATTCAGGACTCGTATTCATACTCCAATGGGTATATGAGTCTAAACTATTTCCCACCCTTGACGGGAAGTTCCTGGAGAATATTATGTGTAATATTCTTAAGGATAACCCGCCAACCTCCAACGGGTACACGAGGCTAAACTAATTCCCAAAACTCCCAGGAGTATATGAGTATGAACTGGTCCTCCCCGCTCCAATAAACATATGAGTATAAACTATGGTAACGTCGGTCAACGTGTTATAGTAAAAGTCAACGCCGGTCAGCACGTTAGTAATTCTTGCCAAAATAAGGTTTATTTGTGTTCATACTATAACAAAGGTCGACGTCAGTCAACACATCTATAATTCTGCTAAAACAACACTCAGAATGATATTTCAGATGCAAGAATTACTCCAGGAAATTCGATCATATTCAGACATAAATTCCCGACGAAGGTGATCTGTTCAGAAGTTGATTCAACAACAAGAACTGATTCAGATATTAATGCATCAATCCTAGTTTGAGGTTTTGACAACGATCAGATGATAAACATAGTACCAGAAGAATTTTGGCTATTAGGTAAATATTGAATAGACTGAGAGCTGAAGAAATCCAAAAATTAAAGATTTGGCGTATCATATCCAAAGTATTTCAAACTCCTCTATAAAAGAATGAGGATGTAACACTTTGAAGGGGGTATTTGTAGGCATCTAAAAATTCCTATAGGTTCCCGTACGTAGCTTGATGCAATAAGAAGATGATGAACGTCATCATTCGAGTAAAGAAGGATCATCCGAGTGGCTGTCGCGCTTGTCGGCCAGCTCCAAGTGGACGCCGCATTTGTAAGTCAGCTCCAAGTGTTGTAAAAAAGCTAACAAGCGCATGAAGTAAGTTAGTAAAGCGTACAAGTTAACAAGACAACCAAATACGTAAAACGATAGGAAATGCAAGACCGGGAGAGTTGGGAAACACCAAAAAGTCAAGAGAAAGCCTCGGAACCCACGTGAGGGCGCGGGTCGCCACTTGGTGACCCACGCACATGCGGGTCACCACTTGGTGACCCATGGGTTCGCGGCGGGTCCCCATGGGGTGACCCACGACCACGTGGGTCACCACTTGGTGACACGCACTCACACGGGTCACCAAGAGGTAACCCGTGCCCACGTGGGTTGCTGTGGTCTGTCACGTAGTCCCGAGCCTCAAACACATTTTCGACATTTTTTTAAGTAGTTTTCACAGGATTTATTTGTTCCAGATGTTCCCAACTGACTTGATATCATCTCTACATATGGGTAGGCTGTTATTGACTGAAGATAAGGCCAAATCTCACAAGATAAGGCCAAATCTCACATTCTCATCCAAATAACTGCATCTGAGGCCTATAAATATAAGCCTAAGGCCTTCATTCTACAAGGTTGGAATTTTTATTAAGAAAGGAGGTGTTGCTGGATTGAAGAGTCAAGGAGTACGAAATTTCAGAGGAGGCTAGCTAGATCCCGGCGAACTTCGGTATAAAGAAGGAGTCTCTCGAAGGATCCGAAGCCCCGTACCCCCTTTCCTTGAGATTAGCTTGGTCTTAATCTTGAGAAGAGTACTGATTTCGCTTGATCGATATTAGTACTTTAGCAAATACTTCCTTGGTGAAGTAGGAGCTCTAATCAATACTTCTACCAACCAGATTGGATCCGTAGATGGTCAATGGATAAACCCCGGCACCAGCCAAGATCCCACGCAAACAATAGGAGATAAACTGCTATTGTTTGTAGTTTGAAAGAAAGTTGTAATTTTTGATTAAAAGTTTTATAAAAAGGCTATTTTCTTGAGTTTGTTGTAAACGTCTAAAGTCGTAATTAACTCATCAATGA